TATATCTACTCTGTTGGCTGGCTTAAAATGATAGCATCAGTATAGAGTGAAATCATAAGCAGTAACTGGTATGTTTTCAGGTTTTGGTGTAATTGAAATGCAGGCCTGACACCTCCACATTCGTTACTCCTCAGCAGATTCTCTCTCCTCCCTTCTGGATGGCCGGAGCAGTGATGGACAGCATTGTGATCCTTGACGATGACGATGAAGAAGCTTCCACATCTGCATCCACGTCTTATTCTCATGCTGTGAACTGCCAGTTAAAAACCCCTGTGAAGAACCAGCTGCCGCCGCCAACACACATCACACAGTCTCCATTCGCCTCTGCGAAGAAGGATGTGCATGTCCTAAAAGTGGAGAATGAAAAGCTCTTTGCAGAGGTATGTTTGTTAACAATATTTATGTTGCAGAATATACTGACTGCATACAACAAAAATAGCTAACAAGACAACAGTTTAAAAAAATAATGTTGTCTGACAAGGTTTTTTAGGATTTCTGCACGTCTTAAAATGTCTTAATTTACACTTTCACAAATAAAGGCCTGGCAAAGTCTTAAACTGGAGCAGAAAGTCTTAAATTCATAAAGTCATCATGGCAATAAATGTTGCATGCAGTCAAAAAAAAAAGAATATCTGTTTTCCAATACAAATACCTAAACATCCTTAGATTAAGATGCACGTATTTGAGATGCAAAGTGAAGATATGAAGTCTTGTTTTCTGAGAAATTTAACACGTTTATGCTTGAAACAAGAACACACATGTCAATGGGGCACAAAAACTTGTTTTCCCTTTGAATGAAGTTGATTTTTCTAAGCCCATTGGAAGATATTTGTTCTTATTTTAATCATAAACTCACTTCATTTTGATTACTTTTTCAGAAAACGAGACTTCTTTTCTTATGTAGTTTTGCTTCTCAAGTAAATGTAGCTTGATTTAAGAATCTTTAGACATTTGTACTGGAAATACTGATGAAAAACATTACTTTTTTGGAGTTTTTGGAGTGATATTCTAGTAATTGGGAAAAGAGCTATTGAAGCTTTAAGCGGTATATATACAGTTTGTTTTGTAAAATGAAATCT